AAAGGCACCAGAGAAATATCTCAATACTGTTGTAAGTATTATTCCCAAAGAGACTTATAGTCTTTAACACACGTAAATAAGTTTCTCCTTGCTTTGAACGGGTGGATTTAAGGCATATTAGTACAAATATAGTAAATAAATGATGATTTATAACACTACAACAAAGGTATATGAGATGCAGAAATGGGAACAAAAATCCCAATTTCATCAAGGAGTACTTATATCCACATGTAACAACCTCTACAACAGTCAACAGCCTCAAAAACCAGCCAAATACGCCTAAAGAACCCTAAAAACCATATGATGACGCAATGTAATGATCTTGTTACTAAGGTATGATGTAACTTTCACAGCCAAAAGTGATCAATGATGCAATGATTTAATGTACAGCACTTCTTATGATGAATACAGGTAATTTTTTTCTTGTAAACTAGCTGCAAACCAATTTTTGAGATTACAAAGTTTTTCAGATGGGGTCCAATTTTGGATTACTATAGTGCATCTTGTAGCCCTTGTGATACTGATCATTTATCACAGCCATATTACCTAATTATGATGAGTGATGAGTAAGATATTGACACTGTGAAAATAATGTGTTTCTCCCTAGCAAAAAATGATTGACAAAAAATTGTACCTGGAATTGTGGGCGCAGTTATGGCCCAAAACGCTTGGAAAAAGATCTGGAGAGAGATACAACGCTCTTTGTCCTGCAACATTTTTTTGAGGTTGCTTAAAGCCTCATACTCAGCATGAACCCAGCAAGCAATTTTTGATGTTTTTACCAGCTTTTTCCCTCTCAAAGAAGTCCAAGAAATGCAGAAAAATCAGGAGAGATCAGAAATCCCCTTTGTGATGTGTGGTGTTTTTTTTGGATTTTTTGATGCCTTTGTCTTGGATACATGCAGGTTAGAACATTGAAAGTCTGCCAAATAAAGTTTAAATGCATTTTGGTTCACAGGGGCATCAAAATTCCACACACTGTCTCCAAACCATGTACAGAAGATCTTGCATCCTTTGTTGTGCTGCAAATTTTTTTTGGGTGGTTTTGGAGCCTTGTACATATGGCAGTAGCGTTTAAGTACCTAAAATTACACACATGTGATGACTTGCATACTGAGCCAGAAAAATTCTGAAAAAAACGTTCAACAAAGGAGATATTGTCCTCGACTCGTAATTTTTTTTTCAGATTTTTCTTCTCAATATTGAAGGGTGAATTTAGTGCTTTGGTGCTGCATATTTATGTGTTGTTCCACAAAAATTTTGAACATCACCAAACTGAGTGCTAGATTTTTTTTACAATGACCAAAATCTCCCAACTGGAAGAAAATAGCACATTTTGCCTTACCAGATTTATTCAGATTTTTTGGGCCAATATCAAGCAAGGCATTTTAAATGCTAGAATCAATCATTTTTTGCCATGGAAAAACACATTATTTTTGCAGTGTGAGTTGTGAAGTTAAGGTTTTTGGTGTTACATCTTACTAGCAACTTAGCGGTGGGCGCCGCTTTAGCGGCTGACGCCGCCATTCCATGTATAACCCAAACACATTACAATAGATCATAATCCCAAAAGCATGACAAAACTAAAATTTCATACACATACACTGTGTAAGTTTCCTGGTAGCACGTCAACACACCAAAAACATTTCATAAAGGGATGCTAGATGCTTTGAGGAGGTCTTTGCATCCAAAGACCCACTCCCTTTGTCTAGGTGCTCAGAAAGCAAGGTCAACAAAGGGGTGCTGAGCTTGTCACTTAAATCCAACAAAACTACAGAAACCTTTCCTTGCTTGTTTTTTCAAATCCCTTTGTGTGTGCACATTGACTTTCTACCGGGAATTGTACACCATGATACATATTTACTAACTTTAGGTTTGGGAATCACCCTTGGTGACCTCAACCTGGCAAAATTTGTTTGCAACAGAGAAGTCACAAAATTGAGATACACGGTGAGATGCGCAAATATATTTGGACAATACAACACTTACAAAGTGAGAGAAAGTGCAGTCAGTATCTTGAAGCTTAATTAATAATTATCAAGAGAGAAGGAAAACCTGTACATGTGACTGAATTAGAAATTCCACCAAGTACTTTCATATTCCTGTCATCCAAACACAGATGTGGCATGAAGACCGACTCTACTGACAGGATCCGATTGTAATGAAAGTTTTCCAGGTGATTCTCAACTTGATCAACCCAAGTGGAGAATTGAGCTTTTCAACAATCCCAAGATTAGCCAAGGACATACAAAACTTTCATGGGTCGTCAGATGATTCCAATTGAATTTTTAATTGGGGAATGCAATTGGCTTAAATATCCTGAATCTTGTCAGGTATCATGATCCTTTCCTCTATCTAGTGCCTTTGTAATGATAATGCAGAAGGGTGTCTCCTAATCATCTGTAATAGAAGGGTATCATGATTGAAGTGGTGATCAAAACATTGCAACCAATCTAAAAACTTAACAGATCATCAGAATCCCAAAGAGCATGAGCATTGGTTATGAAAAAGACTGATGAGATGTATATGCAGAAATCAACAATAGGGGTTCTCAAAGTAGACCCGTTTTGTAAAAACCCGGTTGACCCAGTTCACTTTTTGGCTGTGATCTGTCGAAAAATGTCAACTCAATACACAAGGTTACTGCCAAAAAGCAACCGGGTCAACTGGGTTTTCTTGAAACCGGCCAACTTTGAGAACCCCTAATGAACTGCAAAATTTCAAAGAATAATCAATTGAATTGAAAATCATAATTGCATTCTGAAATTATCCAGACATATATGTATTCAGTGAGAATGGACCAATTTCTGTGTTGGTCTGTTGGTGTACACATAATGAATCAGTTGAATGAATCCACTTAAATCAAACTTGCAATCAAATCATCCAAATGGTCTGATCCAGTACCAATTCCTAATCTAGCTTTAAGTGAAGAAGTAGTATGAAAAAGATCATCAAATGTATTTTGAACAAACATCTTGATTTAATTTGATCAAAAAGTTGATCTGCCCAAAATTGTTTGGTCTGATGATAGCCTTGCTGGTCTTGTAAATTTTTTAGTGCCTATAGAGAATACTGGCTGTGATTTAACATTTAAAGAGAAAAACAAATACTCTCAACATCATTACAAGCAGCAGGATAAGTGTGATTCTGATAATGACATTGTGCTGATGAAAATAAAGCATGAAGATGTATGTCAGAATTCACATACCTATGAAAGAAAAGACAGTCAAATCCAAATTCAAACTCAGAGTTGGATAGATGTGTCAAGATTGACATATTATGATTATGTGAGTGCATGTCATAGAATCTGCTTGATGTGTTTGCAGATTGAATAATATCAGGGTTATTATTATTTGTGGACTTGACATAGACAGAACCAGAGAAACGTGATCAGTGTTTTTTTAAACTGATTTGAAAGAAAGATAAATAATCTGTGTAAACTTTTGCAAGTTGATTGAGATGAGGATTTGGAGATGAAGAATGAGTATCTCCTGTTGGACAGAATTTTGGCAAATTGCAAAAGACCCTCAATATTATGAGGTGGTTGAGTTTTAGATCTGAGATATTGAGCATTGTCAACAAATGTAAAGACCAATTGGAGACTCTTTATGAAACTCAATAGGTTGATCTGGATTCAACTATATTTGTGGAAACATAAGAACCAAAGTAAGGGACTCTCCCACGCAGCAATTATATTGTTATTGAATTTACGTTTTGAATAGGAGCGCTTATGAGGATTGAGAGTCCTATGACATCAACGGAGAGAAGACAGGTTTTGGTAACAATGTCTCAAGATTGATGAATGATAACCAACCTTGAATGAAATAATAAAGTTTATTGACCAATGATAATATATTAGATTGGATGGATTGACGGTATGACATTATAAATGCTTGAGAAGTTCTCAAATCAATAGACAATGATATTGAATCCATCAAGTGTTCATCAAATTTTGAGATTGATTCAGGTGCTCATCGAGGCTGATTAAGATACCCTCTTGTTCTTGCTCCTACTGAAATCAATCCTAGAAAACTCAAAACACACTTCACATATCAAATCTGTGATGATAATCAATATTGATTTAGCGCACCAATAAGATTCTTTAACTCTTTTCAAATCATCATTCTCCAGAGTTTTGAATATCTTTAAATCAGATTCAGGTCCTTGATTATCTAAACCATGCATCACTCTTTGACTTTGGATATCTTGATTGATAATCTAATCAATTGAAATTTGATCAAAAGAACCAATGTTCACCACTCGATCGAAAGAACCGATGTTCACCACTCGATGGGTTTGACTCCAATGGTTTCATTACTTCTTGATCCCATTCCAGATGCGATGGCCATGTTTATTCATTTTTGATCAACTTACAATTAGATATTCCTCCTTTCAAAACAGAAAACTGAAGTTGATGTCACTCAAGTGGTGATTATTAGTTAGATTCGATTCAGTTTAAACTTGATAATGTTGGACACTTTTGAGCTCATCGCACGAGATTGATCTAGACAATTTGAAAGATCAGTTAGTTGTCATTTGACTTCTAGAGGTTTTGATGTTGGAAACCAGATCCAGACTCCCGCGAAGTTGATCCCTAGGCCAAACAGACCTCAAAGCAGTTCAGCATTGCTTGTACATACTGTGGATTGCTAACCTATCAGCAATACTGTCTATGCTAGGATCACCTTACTTCTAACCAAAACACTGAAGCTTTCGAGGATGAAACAAAAAGAATGAGTGTGTTTTTAGAAACCCGATTCAAGAAGTCAAGTTTGAACTCACATCGTAACCACTTGGTCTTGACTGCAGTGTACCAATTGTTGATGAACTCCGGTACAATATCAGCACTTTTCGGCTCAGTTGGTCATCCAAACTAAAATCTTGATCAGATGATGGGAATTTACCTCAAGAAGCCTTCACTCAAACCCAACCAAGTTGATAGAGAGGAAACATCAGTTATCCAACATATTGATTCATTCAGTCAGAGATTGTATCAGTAATCAAAGATAGACCTGAAACATGGTTGATAGCAAGTGCTTTTCTTGATTCTTGTACCGATTGCCATAGAGAATGAACATGACAGTTCGAAGGACGGCATCAATTTTGTCCATGGAAACCAATCTACACAAGGCAGTGATATGTCTTGGTTTGCTTTGAAGTCAGACGAATAGATTTGTATATTGCTACAAGATATAAACCGCCATCGTTAAACTCTGGGAATTACGAGTTGAGTTGATGTGATTGAAAAGGCTGACTTGAGCCCATCTGCCATCTAGATAAAGTCCTTCACTTTTGTCCGCTTCTTCGAGATGCCCCAAACTTCTTCCCTCTCATCCAAGGCCATTCGCTATGAAAGAGGTCCAAAAAAGACACGTCAACCCAGAGCTCTGGATGGATTTGAGCAAAATGCCATAGCTTTCGGTCACTCACATTTTGAAATAGCAATGCGATCCACAAATCAAGACACTTGACATCTCTTTCCAAAAGAAAATTCTTTTTGGCTGAGATGGAATTCTGGCTTTGAAGTCTTAGTGTCTTTCGAACTGAATCAAATCGGAATGTGAATGTGCCTATGTACACTGCGTCCACGACAGACGGTCTCGACGTCGAGACTGGTATCTTTGCCGACTTTGTCTCCACTTTGTTTCGACTCTACTTCTTGTTTGTTCCAGCGACTGAGTATGCCCCTCAGCTGAATGAGAGATGCGCCCTTGAGTACCTGGCATGAGCAGGACTTCCTGAGCCTCAGGGACCTCGTTCGATGCGCGACTCAGAAACATCTTTGATGCGCGACTCAGAACCATCTACTGATCACTCACCTTGGATATTGTAAGTTGGAACGAGTTTAACTAAGGGGAATAGGTGGATTGGCTTAGTGTGGATCGCGAAATCCGAAAGACAAGCGCGTGGTTTTGTATTCCATCATCTTCGATGATTTCTGTATGACGTATGGTAAAGAGATCATGTAACGGTTTTCAAGGAAAATCTTATTCTTATTCTCATCTTTAGATTTCGGGGTTGTCTTTTTCCTCTCATGGTTCTTTACCATTCTTATTGTTCATCCAGACCTCTAACGACAAAAAAAATTTTAGTCTATTCATCACTTTTTAGCTTAGAAGTTTTGTTTCCCACCATCCCACCCATATTCTTATTGTAGTGTCTGCCGCCCCTCGGGTCTCTGGTTTGTTCTTACACTGCAATTCGCTCAGGCCCCCCGGGGTCGTCAAGCGTTTTAGTAGTAAAAAAGCCCTAGTCTTGGATCTAAGATCTCACGTGCCTTGACCTCACCGACGTCAGAAGACATCTTCAATCGATTGTCGGGTCTCATCAAAGACGCGCCAGTCAATTACTCAGTACTTTGAATCAACTTGAATGCAGAGGGGATGATGATAGCGCGTATATGAAAGGGCAGATCCTGAGTCTGAGCGGTGGATAAAATCGCGTCGATCTCATCTCATCCATATGGTTTTGACTATGATACGATACTCCACCTTTGCCTTTTCAAGGGTTCAGTTAAAGATTTGAAGGCAGATACAAGTGAGATAGTCAAGATTAACAATGAAGATGAAGATAGAGGTTGACCTCTTCTTCATCATGGATAGTTTTGCATCAACGACAAGATTCTTTCGGCGAAAACAACCAAATACAGTACTTGAACATGGCAAAGAAGAGCTGCCAGTGAGCACAGCAAGAAATGGTCAACTGATACTTCGACTTCAATCATTACAAATTTGAGGACTTTAGTTGAACGCGCCTTTCACGCCGTTTTGAAGGGACACCACTTAAAAACTTCGAGGATAGATCCATTTCCCTAAGCTTTGGCTTTGTTTGTTTCTCAAACTTGATGAAACGGAATAAGCGAAATAAATTTAGCGGGGCAAGAGCACTGTCTTTATCTTAAGGAGAATCTGGTTTCAGTCTATATATATTGAAAAACAAAACGAAGCATTTTTGAAAAACTAGCCGGTATATTGAAAAAGAAAAAACAGTATTTTTCTGGTATATTGAAAAAAGAAAACAATATATTTTTGAAAGAGTAGTCGAGCAAGAAAAATCTAGTTACAGTTTGTATACATTGAAAAAGAAAACAGAGCATTTTTTGGGTTTATAGCGTAACTTGTGTGTCTTCTTTGTACTTATGTGGAGTTCATTTCTTTTTTATGGCTTCACAGTGTTCAATCATTGATGGGAGATTGAAATTCCTTTTCGATAGATTCAATGCTGCCCGTGCGGCTTTCGAAAATGTCTCTCGAAACTCCTGACTCACTAATGATTTAGGAAATCCTACTGGCGGCTTACAGGAGCGCTTAGCCTTCTCTTCCATCTCGATGTGTGATCCCCTATCGAGGGCCTTGATAGCTCTAGTCTGATCTCGCTCATCTTTCCGGGTGTCAATATGCAGGTCATCTAGCAGGTAAAAGAGTTTATGCAGATATTCGTGCCTCCAAAATAGACGTCTGCGAAGCGACTTGTTGTTGTCATCGACTTCGTCCTCCGAATGCACACTTGGCATTGATATCAAATGTCCCAGTTCAGCATATTCAGGCACATCTTTGGAAAAATACCTGAAAAAAGTATCTTTTCGAATCGTGCAAACCTATGGAAGGAATGGGTCAGGATTTGGTGCAAAATACCTAGATATGAGATTACTCACCTTGTTCCTGGAGTGGCGCTGTGCTGCTCTTTCCTTTTGGCGTTTTGCTCTTCTTTTCTTCTCCTCCGCGTGTCTGTTCTTCTCCTCTGCGTCTTGTTCAGGCTCAAGCTGGGATGAATATTCCAGTCTCTTGTAGTTGAACCATCGTTCAAGGATCAATAACTTATTCTGGGGTGTAACCTGACTGGCTACAATTAGATAATCATCGGCATCACCACAATGATATGCCTTTTCCCACTCTTGGAGTAAGATTCGTGCTGTTGCCTCATTCCATTTGGATTTGAATGTTGTTGTCCAATCAAAAGTGAGTCGGGAAAAACCAGCTAGGGACAAGGCAGCCTCACAGGAATAAGCTACCTCGCTTGAATATTTGCATCCGGAAATGTTGTTGGATACCTGAGAGCGAAATCGAACCGGTTTGAGCTGTGATTGGGCTAACTCAACTGCATCCTTTTCGACCAATGCTAGCTGTCTTTTGGTCGCATCAGGATATTTTTTGATATATCTCGATTGTTCTCTGTCAATAGAATCATCAACAACCTTCCTTGCATGATGCTTTCGCCTTGACCAAATTTTAAATTCTTCTCTTGAAGGAGGCTTAGGAAGAGAAGAATCCGAAATGATTGCTCCACGACGTTTACGGGTTATGCCGAGGAGGAGTTTAACATAGTCGATGATTGCAACTGCTAATTTCTCGTGTTGTGACGGTGTTGGCCGCTTCTGAGCAGCTTTCTCCCTGAGTAATTCATTATGACGCTCGGCGGTTTTTTTATAATCTCGCGAACGTTTTTTATTTTTGAATTTTACATTTTCGGCCAAGGCAACGGATTCATCTGAGTCAGACTTCTCAGAATCAGAATCTTCAGGATCGGGATCGGAGGAATCAGGATCGGAGGAATCAGGATCGTCGCGGTCAGGATCGTCGCGGTCAGGATCGTCGGAATCAAGATCGTTGGAATCAGGATTGGTGGAATTGAAAGCAGACATGTTTGAATGTGTATAATTGTGTCGAGGATCATCACGAGAAGAATCTGAATGATCGGAATCAGAATCAGGATCATCAACATCCCTCATGTGAACATCTTGTGCGGGGTTTGAAGACCTGCTTGGTGCTTTTTCTCGAGCCGTCTGAGTGAGCTTCCTGGGTTGTTGATTTCTCGACGTCGACTTTGGTTGAGCTAAATTTGAATGATTGGAATCAGAATCATCAACATCCCTCATGTGAACATCTTGTGCGACATTGTTTGAAGACCCCCTTGGTGCTTTTGTGAGTTGACTTTCATGACTATCATTGTTGGCATATGATCGGGAGGTAGAGGGTCTAGGTGGACTTATAAGACTAGATCTGTCTCGCGACGACTGAGTGAGCTTCTTGTTTTGGTTATTTCTCGAGGAAAATTCAGTCAAAGTTGGTCGGGCTTTTTTGGTCAAGCCTGATGCTGAAGGCCTAGGTGCTAAAGTTGTGGACTGATCACGGTGTCTTCTCGTCGCGCTGGAGCTTGCAAGTTTTATTAAATCTGAATCTGAATAATCAAAGGCCAGATTTTTTGATGCAGGATCGTTTTGTTGATCGTTCATGTGGACATCCTCGGTTACATCGGGTGAGGGATATGTTAGTCTTCTTTCCGGGTGCGATGTTGAAGACCGGCTTGGTTCTTGTAAAGGTTGATTGGTATGATCGTGATTGTTGGAATATGAGCATGAGGTGGAAGGTCTAATTTGGTTGTTTCTAGATGAACTTATATGAGTTGGTCTGTCTTGAATGAATTGAGTGGGCTGCCGATGATTTGTATTGCTTGAAAATGGATTAGTCAATGTTGATCTGTCTATATTGGCTGAGCCCGAAGTTGAAGGTCTAGATGCTAAATATGATCGGGAGGTGGAGGGTCTAGGTGGACTTATAAGACTAGATCTGTCTCGCAACGACTGAGTGAGCTCCTTGTTTTGGTGATTTCTTGAGGAAAATTCAGTCGAAGTTGTTTGGTCTTCTTTGGTCAAGCCTGATGCAGAAGGCCTAGGCGCTAAAATTCTGGACTGATCACGGTGTCTTCTCGTCGCGCTGGAGCTTGCAAGTTGAGTCTTAAATCGGGTAGATTGGTGTCCACTTATTAAATCTGAATCTGAATAATCAGAGGCCAGATTTTTTGATGCAGGATCGTGTTGATCGTTCATGTGGACATCCTCGGTGACATCGGCTGAGGGATATGTTAGTCTTCTTTCCGGGTGCGATGTTGAAGACCGGCTTGGTTCTTGTAAAGGTTGATTGGTATGATCGTGATTGTTGGAATATGAGCATGAGGTGGAAGGTCTAATTTGGTTGTTTCTAGATGAACTTATATGAGTGGGTCTGTCTTGAATGAATTGAGTGGGCTGCCGATGATTTGTATTGCTTGAAGATGGATTAGTCGATGTTGATCTGTCTATATTGGCTGAGCCCGAATTCGAAGGTCTAGATGCTAAAGATGTGTCCTGATTGAGGCTTTCTTTTGTCGAGATGGAGGTTGCACGTGTACCTTTCGATTGCGTATATTGTTTACCCCGTGATTGCGTAGATTGGTCTCTATTGATTAAATTTGAATCTGAATGATCCCAGGCCAAATGCACTGATTCAGGACCATCTGGATCTTTCATGTGGACATCCTTGATGAAATTGACTAAGGGATGTGTTACAGAGGGAGACATTTCTCCAGACCTTCTTTCAGGGTGCGATGTTGAAGAACTTCTTGATGCTCGTGAAGGTTGACTAGTATGGTCGTAATTGTTGGCATAGGAGCGTGAGGTGGACGTTCTACTGTGGGTGTTCCTAGGTGTAATCATATGAGTGGATCCTTCTTGAAGGAACTGAGTTCGCTGCTGATGTATTTCATTTCCTGAGGATATATTAGTCGATGTTGTTCTATCTAATGTCAAAGGTCTAGATGCTGAAACTTTCGCATTCCTGAGGTTATCTTTCGCGGAGCTGAACCTTGCACGACTACTCTTCAATTGATTAAATTGATGATCATGAATTTCGGATTGATTTTTGGTGAGTAGGTGCTTATCCTTTTGGGACGGGGGAGTGCAAACCGACATCCTGGAAGGCAGGGAAATTGATGAAGTGGGACTTGTCATGTTAACATCTTGGTTCGAAATTGATCTTCTTCGACTAGGTTGGCGATCGGAGAAGTGTTGTTGCTGATTTCCAGTGAGTATTTCAGAATTTTGGGGGGTTGAGATCCGGCCGGCTGGGTCTCGCTGATACGTATGCGACAAAGAAGGATGTCGTGTTCCAAATTGGGAGCCAGAAGAGTGTGGAGAGGTCGAATTTGAGTTTGAAGCGGGCAGGCCCAAAGGGCCAGTTATTCTGTTGCTTTCAAATCGTCTTCTCCGGCCAGAACCCAAGCTATTGGAATCTTGACTGTATACTGATGAAGCGCTGGCATTCGGGCGACTGCCTTCTTGATAGCTTGCAAAATCACCTAGAAATATATATCAATTAATGAACTGACGGTGGTGAACTCAGAACAAGATAGAATACCTTCTCGCTGTTTCCCTAAAGAATTTGCTGTTCTATATGGAACAAATCTAACTTCAGAATCCTTTGAATTACGTTTTCTTTGATCAACTCGTGCTGTTTTGATACAAGGTGGTCCAGTGTATGAATCATGGGTTGAGCCAGGTGCTTCAGGGGTTTTGGTACTTATACAAGAGCCATCTGAAAAGCATGAAAAGTATCTTAGTTGTTTCAATTCTGAGTCTGCAAGAATGCTTCACTTGAGACGTGCCAGGCCTACTTGATTCATGCGGGTGCTTTTCACAAGAAAAATTCAAACGTCGCGGGCTTAAGGCTCCTTCAGGAGGATCGACTGCTATATCAGGAGATTTCCGGATTTGTGGATTGGCCCTGGTGGATTGCGCTATCAGAAACAGTGTTTTTCAGTCTTTCATTCAACTGCGGCTTAAATAAAATTCTTACAAGAATTCTCTTCATGAAGACCTTTTTTGAGCTGGTCCCCGGCATCTTCGTTATCCTGCCAGAGATGTGGCCAGTTAAATATCAACCGATAGACGTCTTCAGCACTTGATTGGCACTTACCAATCTCGAAGCCGTAGCCTGAAAGGGATTGGAGTGGATGGCTTGATCTGATTCTTCGTCAGAACTTGGACATTCACCTAACAGAAGCTACATTGTTAGCCAATGAAATGATGCTTGAAAGAAGCCGCAAAAGAGTTTTACATACCAATAGGTGTTAATGGAACTCCACGCTTCTTGTTGGATGTTTTTCCACCATGCTTATAATAGGCATCCTCCTCACGTGCCTGTTTTCCTGTTGCTATGTTCACAGAGCTTGAGCCTTGTCCTTTTACATACCCTTGATGTTTACGCCGGTCGCTGGTGTGTCCGTCATGATCAAAGAAAGATACAGCTAATTGTCACAGGGGTTACGATTGATTAGAGGTTCTTGTGACGACGTTGAGCTATGTGAAGATATCAAGGAAGATAGGACGCCCACCTGATCTCATCTGGCCCTCGCTGGGACGGATGTTTGAGCTGGTTGCTTGAAGTCTCTCTTGACATGCAGTCAAAGAATCGCCTGTAGAAAAAGAGTGATCAACAGACCCGTTTTGGTCCAAATACACAAGAGGGCTACCACCACTCTCCATTAGACTTCTTGCTTCGCTTGGAATGAATCGTGAGCTTGAAGTGCGGTTTTCAACTTCTTTGAATAACGTTTTGGCTGTAGGTTTGGGGACAGTCAGAACAATCTTACTGCACCTGATGAAACGAATTGCCCACCTTCTGCCAGTCGATCGTTAAACATTCTCATTGGATCAGGGTGAGCTTGGCAATCACGGATGGTTGTCCTTTCTACTCTGGCTGAGTCCGCAATAGGTTCCGAGGGCTCACCTGCAAGGATGTATGTGTCTATGATCAGATTAGTCAGCTTTGAGCATCTACTGAAATAAACTTACCAGTGCCAGTGGATAGATACGAGTCTTCACGGAACTTTTTGGAGGTTGTGCTAAGATCTTGATCGTCATGAATGTCACGACGATGTTTTCTTGGTCCAACTGGCAAAGATGTCAAATAACTTTTGAGTGCGTCTTCTCGCATTTTACGCCAATCGTTGCGGTGTCCATATTGGTCGAATAAAGAGCGATCTAGCCAAGACGAAAAAAAATACAATACTCAGTTAAACGGTACAGTGACGGTTCATGCATACCTCGAGAATCATTGGGAATCATACTATCAGTAGGTTGTTGTGTTTCCTCGGTATGTTCGTGTTGATTGATTATTGTGGCGTGATTGATTCTGGATGGACCTAAGGATTATGGGATCATTGGATGAAACAAGACCAAAGTATTAAGAAATGCAATACGGTATGGAAAGCCTGGGAGCCTACCTTCAGGCGCTTCGCCCACTGATTGTTCGAGGCCAGCGGGTATTTTTGACTGTTGAGGATGGTGTCCCGTTGTACTGCTCTTTTGACCGGGGCGAGTTTGACAAACAGGAAGTTTTGTGCTTTCCGCTCTGTCTGAGTCCACGATAGGTGTTGAGGAATTGTCTGCGAGGATGTGTGGGTTTATGATCAGACTTGGTAACTTTTGATCATTTAATGAAATTTGCCTACTAGTGATTGAATGCGAGTCTTCACGGATCTTTTTGTGAGTTGTGCTATGATCTTGATCGTCATGAATGTCACGCCGATGTTTTCTTGGTCCGACTGGTAAATAAGTCGAAACACTTTCCAGTGCGTCTCCTCGCCTTTTACGCCAATCACTGCTGTGTCCATAGTGGTCGAACAAATGAGGATCTAGCCCAGATAAAAAGAAATATAACACTCAGTTAAAGATTGAAAATACAAAAACCGAGTCAAAGGATATTGCAATCATTGAGTATGTTCCGTACCTTGTTCCCTTTCGCCAGTGTATTCGGTTTGATCAAGTATGGAGGGAACTACATCAACGTATTGTCATTTGGGAAAAGGAACAAAGTATCAAAAAAAGATTGCAAATAATGACAAGCTTGGGAACTTACCACCAGCCGCTTCACCCACCAATTGTCCGATGTTGGTGGGACTTTCTGGCTGTTGATGAGCTTTTTGCTCGAGGGCTACGACGGTTTCGGTATCGCTGGCTACATTATCTGTGATGTCAGTTTATCCTTTGAAACAGCGTGCAAATCGAGATGTGTTGTTACTCAACTTCCATAAGCGATGTCACCTTGTTCATCCGAAGTTTCTGCGATGATTGAACAACGATAGTAGAAAGATCGATTTTAGCAAAAGTGAGAAAGTCACTTTCTTGTGAAGTGGTACAGCTATACTATACCTTCTATACCTTCGAATAGATCACAATCCTGTAGAGCGCCCTGCGTATCGTCATCATCGTCTGGATGATATATGTCATCCAGTGCATCAAGCTCCGAGTAATCTTCCAATTGAAGTTCAGGCTGATGCTCCTGACTATAACTACCATCATCATGGGTCTGTATGATATCTGTTGGCAAAAATAGATAGAATCAGTACATCTATTACATGAAGAAAGAGCATAATTAGACCTGCCTGTTTGGTTAGCAGCACGTCCTGATCTGGTTTCTTGGCTAAGCGCGTCTGCGACGATCGATTTGAGTCAATCAAGGGACAAGTTGAGTCAAGAAAGATGTCGTGATTTGATGAACTCACTACTCAGGGCGTCTTGATATTGTTGTGTACTTGAATCAGAGCTTGCGTAACCTGAAGGAGTCATCCTGTGGTTTGTAGAAAGATCTATTTGTGGAGTATATGGAAAAATTAAAGTTGAAATCAGAAGTGATGATAGAGAAGCAGAAGGTGTGTGAGAAGATACGAGGCGGAACAATAGACCGAAGGAATGAAATTGGGGGTTGAAGGAGGTTGAAGGGTAGATGATGCGATCATAAACACAAAGGGTCAGAAATTAAAGAATCGCATACTACGTACCTTACAGGCTACCTTTAATAAAAAGTCGTTAACGATTTTTCTTTTGGTAAGAGTGGGAATATTGTTATTTTTGTTGATGTTTGTTGCTTTCTGTTAGAATTTCGCCATATCTTCTACGATCAACAACCTGATAAATCTTCATTTCATAACATAAATCCTGATCTGCACATCCAACACAGTGATCATACAGTCTCTACTGTCAAAGAGATATGACATCTCATGAAGGTAGTACCACGAATGATGACTCACACGTGAAGGAAATGAAACTAAAGGCCTCTATTTCTCTCATCTTTCAGCGCCTAGACTTCCCTCGAACTCGAATCTCCTGAAGGAAGGCCGGATAGCCCAGTCCGTCAAAGCGCAGAACCGAGCTGTCTTCGCCTGGCTACCTCCTCATCACTCAGCCTATTGTCAAGCGATCTCAGAATTTACTTGGTATCTACTTCGTGTTTCGGATGAGAGATTTCCGCCTCCACCTACCAATTCAGAACTTGCGCTTCTTCCTATGCTTTCAACCGCTGCTATACTGGACAACACTGCTGTGTTCGCTGTCGATTTAAGCCCCAACAACCTCCCCAGCACTCAGGTATTATCAGGTCGACGGAAGGCATCGTGGATTAATCATAAGGGACTGTTTCTTTACGATTTGGCTCAATCAGGCGTGCCACGTGCAACATTGGAGTGGATAGTTTCAAAAGACTCGCGCTGGAACGACATCATGTTGGCATTTGTTGCCAAACATTTCACCTGGGCGCTGGAGCAGAATGCATTTTCACGATATTCCATAAACCCAACCCATATTACCAATGAAAAACTCTGGGGTGTTTTGGAGAGATGGGTACGTGGACGTGCACAGGAAAGAGATAAGATGATGCGTAATCCTGAATCCGACTTTCAAAAATTGAAAGTAAACAATACACGAAAGAAAAGTGTAAGTCAACCTTCTTTGTTGGGTGAATTATGATCTTGTTTCTTCCAATCCCATTCTGATTCAGGCAATCTGTTTAGCTCTTTGAATTCCGAAAACAAACGATTAGCACTTATCTTGGCAAAGATGCGCTAGCATACCTTCCAAGTATGGATTGCTGTTCGGATACTGAGGACGTTGACGGAAAGTTGTACCGTGTAAACCCAATTTGGCGAGAAAACCTCTACTCTCAATGGCTTCACAGTGTTGATGAGTTATCGATCAAGCATGAGAAAGAAACTCGAGGGTTAAGGTCAGCGGTTCGTAGATTGGATGGTCGTCGACAGCCCGCAAGGCGTGAGGATCACCAGGCTTCTATTGCACCAAACTTGCCAGCACAATGTTACCACAGTACTGTGGTATCAAATATTCCAGAGACTGAAAGGTATCTAGTTATCAGTAATGACTCGAGTGTTGAGAATCTTGAATCCCTTCTGTCAAGAACAAAGTCACAACTGCGATAAAACAGATGGTATGGTGCTTTTCAAGCTTTAATCAAAAGGATTTTTCAGTTGCTTATATTACTTATTTGTATGGCTATCAAGTTGTTTATATTTGTTGATTCATGAATAATTCATACACAACAAAACCTCGAAGAAGATAGTCAGTTGTATATATAGACACAGTAGGGATGTTCTAGGCACACAATCATCACTCTGATGAAACTGCAAGGCTGAAATTTTGTTGTCTTTGTTAAATTCTATATCAAGATGGTTCAACTACGATAAAACATATTATGATCTTAATTGAGAAGCTGAAGGTGAAAACAATGGAATGCATTACATCACACCATAGCCCTAATTTGCCTCATGGCATTGGGCGTGTCAACTGTCTTTGATACTTCATGAACAAAACAACTTCGTGCCAATGCACCTTGATCTTCTTCTGGTGCTATGCACAACAATTGTGTTCTGGAGGAGTCAATTGAAGTGGGAATTGCGAGCTTGTGTGCCTGACGTGAATCGTTTCGAAAATGCAAGGGAGACCTTCATTCAAGCTGCCCGAGAAAAGTAGGAAAGCCTTCACCACGGCTTGACTGAGGGTACTGTAGACCCCGCCTTCAACTAGCTGTGTTCATTCATCCATTCCATCTTACTTGGTTCCTTCATCTTTTACAAGCTTATTGTTCACACACATATATAGAAGAGGAGTTTAAAAAAGATAGAAAAAAAGAAGTCAAAGGAGAAAGAAAAATAAAAGAAAGATTGAATACATCATAGATATAAAGCACAGCTCAACGCTCAACTCTTATTCTCTTCAAAAAAACTCTTTCATCTAATACATCCAAAAACAAAAAAACAAAAAACCCTTTCCTATAACATCATCCACGTCAACCAAGCCTGAAATCTGTATATCATCTTCGTTTCTATGTACAGTGATGTATTGAACATCTAACAATCAGATTGATATCCTAAGTAAAAGTACAGGAGGGGACATGCTCTGCATACTCGAGCACAAAGATAAGGGAGAAGTAGATGTGAGTGAAAAGTTCGTAAGAAAATTGAGCGTCCGGCTTCACAAATCCTCCACCTTCAAGTAGACAATCTAATTGAAATCCTCCACGAGCTAATATCCGGCGTATCGCTTTTTTTTTGCATTCACAGATTGGAGTTGTTGGGACCGGTTCATCTAAGTATGGCAAGTTTAGCATGTAATCAGGTGTAATCAAGATCGTATTTTGGAAGAGAATAGCTCACAATTCTCGTCTTGCTCCATAGGACTATGATCAGGCGAAAGATGACCTTCTTGATCACTATTGGAAGGTGCCTTTTGAGTACCGGGGGCTTCTTCCGAAGACAGATTCTTGTCATCTTGAGGTGAAAGTCTTTCTTCTTCATTGTCTTGGGCGAAAGGATCATCTGGGAGATGAATTTTCTCGCGTTTGAGGGGTAAATCGAAGCCTGCCATCCCAAAAGCACGCTCTACGGTACGTTTTTTATCCAGTTTCGAAGCTAAGTTTATTTTATCTAGTTTTGAAGCTATGTATATTTTGATGATCAGTTACTGTAAAGGAGCTGTTCATCCAGAGTATTTTCAAGAAATCCGGCTTCATTTACTCACATTCCTCCTTGTCTTCAGTGGGTATTTTCGTCGATTCCTCTTCCAAAGGGACAGCTGGAAGACCAGGGCATTCTATCTTGGTACGCTTCGATACGGGCCTGAAGGTGACCAATTCGAAATCTGATGTGCGTTTTTTATCGGCCTTACAACCCCGATGTACTTGAAAATCCTCAAGACAGTGGACAAGGGCTATAGCATTGCAAACGTGCAAAAATCAGCGCTGGAAAAGAATCTCCATGAAGTATGAATGCGAGACGCTCACCAATTACCGATTCTTCAGCAGGAGATGTGTCATGTTCAACCAAAGGAGTATCTTCCTCGTCAACTGTGTATCCAGTTATTTTGTGCTGGTTGTTATCCGATGTAGAGCTTCTTCGGGTAGGCGACGCAGCTAGAAAATGATCAGATAAATAAGTCAGCAAAATGCACTGAAATTTCCGTTTTCAAGGTAGAAACTTTACCTGTGTATTCTGGAACTTTAGAAGTGGAGCGCCACTTTTCGGTCATGCTGTTTTGGAGACTGCTGAACTTCTGAGAGACAACTCGATACGCAGTGAATTTTTCAGATAAAAGTCTATTCATGTCGGATAATTATTGAGAGGGGAGTGATAGGATGACTAGAGAGTTTTCGATAGAAAGAAGTAGGATAGGTATTGATCCTTTGGTAGGATGATAAGAGAGTTTTCTGGATGATGATAGAGAGAAGTAGGACAAGTGGAAGCTCTATGTAGAATGATTGATAAAGTTGGCGGACTATGCGGACTATAGCATCATTTATATACCAAAGCACATCTGAAAAGGTGTCAGCTGAGCCATCATCAAGCGGAGTCCTCAGCGTTCAAAGGACTTGACATGCTGGCTGATATTGACGCACCCTGAGGGCGCCTTTCAGTCCCGTCACGAATGTGGAAGATTGATGAGATCGATGAATGGATTAATCAATCAAAGGGCCGTACGCGTTGATGCGGCTGCGCAAAGAGGGCTCAGCTGAGCTAACCGTGTGCGTGCCTTTGTCAAAAGCCCAACCCACGAAGGAATCAGATAGGAAATTTGATCTTTGGTCTGAACCTCTCAATCGTGTCACTAATCGACTGAGTTCTCTCAGTAGTTCAAAGTGAGTTGAACTTTCTTTCAAGAGGAGGATACAAGATATACATTCCATTAAGGACATCGGTGTCAACTCAGGATTCAATTCAAGCTGGTGAAAAGCTGATAGTCAGACGGCATCTTCAACCATTCAACAAACGGGACACCGCAACAATTCAAGCATCTACAGATTTACAACTTTGTGTATCAACGTAGCAGGCTGTGAAGATTTTAAGAATGAAAGATAGGTTGCAAGCCAATGGTTCGTAATTTTGGAAAGAGATAGAACTGCTGGACATGTTGTCGAGCCTAAGGAACAGACCAATAGCCTAATGTACAGCCAAAAAAATGCAAAGTGCCGTTTTAGAAAGGGGAGTGGTGTAACTTCATTGAATGATATCATCTATGACTCACCAAAGCTAAACACAAATAAATCTCTTGAGCATGCCAATGGCTTCGTGAGCTGTAAAGGCCCCGCTTAAGAGTCCTTCGCAGTTGTCGCCACACAAGCCTTTGATGATTGCGATGCATATTTCGTCGGTGATCAAGTCGACTGGGGATTCAGGAGTACGAGGTGGGTCCAATAAATATCGCGGGATCCCGGTTAACTTCTCCATTTCCTGGCATACATCTAAAATCCATCGATCCATTTCCCGGCCGAAGTCATCAAGAGGTTTGAAAAGGGGTTTATCTCGGCCTCCAACAATTTGGCTTCGTAGTCGTCCATATTGGTCAATAAGATGGGTGATCAAAAGACTTTCTAATTTCTAAGAAAGGTCTTCCAGTAAAAGGAGTCCAGGCAGATGATCAGTGGTCGAACGTTGGCAGGTGGATTGAAATTGAATCAAGGGGATATAGTAATGTGGATCACTCACAGAATGATAGTTGAACTTTGGCTGGTAAGTTGAAATTCTGGTAGATTGAAATCTAGCCACTTTAGTTTAGTAATGGGGGTCACTCGGTATGGACTCTTCTTACCTCGGACTCGTCAATTTCTCAATTTCACATCAATTTCTTTTATTATGTCCACATTCACGCGGCGTACACTACCATCTCTACCTCGAATGAGTGCTCAAATAACTCCCAGATTCTGCACTCGAAAGTCTGATCTTGAACGTAGACCCCATCTCATCACACCGGACATGACCCCTCGTCAACAGTCCGAATTAGCTTGTATCCCGATGCCTGCTAGCGCAATGCCTGAAGTCAAAAGTGGAGAAGATCAATGTTTTCGCTGTAACCACTTTGGCCACGTAGGACCTGACTGTCCGAATTATGGTTCACCGTTCCTGAGGCCTGAAGACGAAGATAGATGGCGTCGGGTTGACAACGGCAAATTGTATAGCATGTATGCTTTATGGCCAAGTCTACACGCTGAGGACGCATACGATGTGATCCTCGGCGAGTCTCCGATATGGGACACCTTCGTGTAAGTTATATCTGCTTACTATTGAAGGTTGATTCCCTTTGTGATTGACTTTTTCGTCTTTGTACTTGTCTTTTTGAATTTAGTTCCCCAGTACTCAAAGCTCCGGTCAAGGCTCTAGAACAAGAAACCTCTCAATTAGATCAATCGCATCAATCTGAAAGTGCTGGCCAACTGATCTTGTAAGTCCAAGATTCTTCTTTTAAGTCCAAGATTCTGACCTTTGTTTTCAACTTTGATGCGTTTGAACACAAGTCCTCGATTCTACAGTAAAAGGTCCGGAACAAGAAACCTCTCAATCGGATCAATCGTATCGATCAGAACATACGTATCGATCAGAACATACTGGCCAACTGATCTTGTAAGTCAAAGAGTCCAGTTTGTTTGTATGACTTTGTAAGTGATGTAACACTTACTCAGGATAGCTTTGTCACTCAAGCAACTTCCCTAGCCACACCCGAAACCTCTCGAGTCACAACCTCCCAACCGAACGAGACCGCAATTGGAGCCTACAATCAGTGAGTTGATCTCGTTTCACACCTCATAAGACGTATTCAAACCATTCTAACCCTTTTAGAATGTCACGACATCTTCGATCGAAGTGATGTTCCAGCCTATGTATTGTTGTCTTATTTCTTTATCAAGTTTATCAAGTTTCTTTTTTATAGAGTTTCTTTTCTTATGTCGCGTCAGTGCTTTCACATCTTGTACTTGTACTTTCTGAATATCGCGTCAAATTAAAGATATATGTTGGATTCATCGCAATGGTTGTCTTTTATACGGTTTGGAATACAGAAAATATCTCATCTTTTAAACAGGTTTTGAAAGTGCGCAAAAGTCTCGAATAGAGCATAGCCCCCCCAATTTAGCTCAAAACGCATTGGTCAAAGACTGAAAAATGTGCCCAAAATAATTACAAGTAGAGTTTGATGAGACCGAAATGTAACACTGTCAAGTCTTCACGGTCAAAAACAGGTTTTAAGAATGCCCAAAAGTTAAGACTTATAACAATAGCCAAGCAAGTATAATTATATACAGTCCGTAGAGGTGTCCGCAGAACTTATGAGCTTCTCGTAGCTGATGATTCCAGTCTATACGGCTGATGAGCTAAAAAGGTATAGGAAGTCCACCGAATTTAGGCTGGTACCAAATCAGTGCGCTACATCGACCCTGATCAGAAGGAAGCATTGGACAAATACACATTCGATCCCTGAATTGTGAAGCAGATGTCCTGATCAGTCATCTGAAACCTCAAGGCAGCGTGGATGCAACAGATATGTGCCAGAAAAATAGTACCTTTGCGCCCAGGAACCGGCGCCCCCTGTTTCGTGGCTGAAAAATCTATTTGCTCCTCCACCCACGTCGTTCAAATCCCATATTGTTCATCTCACTGATCATCTGATCTTTGGTGGACAGCCAATACTTCATACTTCATCCTCTTCATAATCGCTTCAAAGTCCTCACTTCTTCATCACATTCAAAGCTACATCTCAACCTTCCTCTGCTTCATCACAACTCAATTACTCACTCTTTCATACATTTACTGCTTGAGCTGGAACTCCTTAAAACCTCCTTGCATGCTTCGGACCCTAGATCATCGCGACGCAGAACTCAGAAGCTAGCAAGGAGTATAATAACGGTTCTCCTTTTCATTTGTATTTTTATGATTAGGGATGGATGTCAAGTACAAGAAGAAGTCGGCAAGCACCATCAGATCTCGTCTTAACCGTTCCAAGAGAAATAAGATTGACCGACCCGACCGCCACTTACCAAATGCTCGAGCTGCAAAGCTGGCTGAGCTCACCCAGAAGTACGGTTTACCTCCAGAATCTAAATTTCTATTCCTCAAGAAAGGGCGTGTGTTTGGGAAGCCTCGCCTCAGTCTAGAATATGGAACTGTGGTCTGTCTCGATGCCGATACCTGCGACCTTCTACTTGTTGTACGATTTGTCGAAAGGAACAACGCAAGCGATGCTGTTTTTGACTCGTACAATCATTCGATCAGCACTATCTACCAGCATGCCAAAGCACGGAACGAAGTGAAAACCAACGGAGCTACTTATCGGGGAAGGAGAAGCTCTCGCAAGTTCGGTCGGATGTATGCCGCTGGCTTTCGGCCAGGATATGATCCTGAGGTCAAAGGAGGTGAGTTCCGGCTGAAAATTTGTTCAAATAACATACAAGTCTTGCTTACCAAACTTCAATGTTCAACAGGTCACTATACGTGGAATCAAGCAACATCTGCTGACCTGCGCAAGATGGAGGCTGATTTGAAAAGACAAGGCAATCTTCCCGAAATCGAATCATTCATGGCAGAAAGATTTAGCGGCCTATCACTCCACGCATTTGAGTCCAATGCGTCAATTGCTGCTCGAACCAATGCGCCTTCTTGGGCAAGCGAGTCTTTTTATGTCTCTCCCAACGCAAAGGTCTTTGGCTCCAACATTGTTGTTACTTGTGATCAGTTTGTTAATAAAAAGCATAAGGATAAAGACTGTTCAAAATACGTGTTCGGCTTGTTTGGCTTGGTCGATCGAGCATCTGGACGTCTATACCAGCGAGGCAAAACAGCACCAAGGGGGACGATCATGGGGGGTCGATTTGTCCTCAATGACTATAATGTAGACGTTAATCTAGAAGCATCAGATGGAGTTATCGAGATGATATGGAACTCGCAAGTCCACCATCAAACAACGGCGTCGAAGACTTTCAACGCCGATGCGATGCAAGTCGCGCCAGAAGATGCTGAGATCACTCGTTTTGGATGTGCTTGTCAGATCTCTCAGGCACTGGTGAATCGATTGGATAATGTTAAGGCCTTGCGATCAGAGATGTCGGAAGAAGACTGGGTCACTCACCAATCTTCTGTATTAACTGGCTATAAAGAACAGGCCCATAAAAAAATGAAAGCGCTCGCTCTCAAGTTGGGTATCTGGCAAGACGATTTCTAGATTCGAGCTCTTTATATCTATCCTGTTTTGTTCGCTACTAATTTCAATCAATCTCAACTTGATGGCCTGTTTTATCAATTGTGTGACTTCGTACTAGCCTTGTGCGACCTACATTAAGCTAGTTCTCTCTGCAAGATTATCTTTGAGATTTGTTCATGATTGTATCTCAAGATTCCCCCTGTTCTTCTGATCGTGCTACTCCTCACTCATTCTCGTCGTGGCGATCGATCATTTTGTTGTTTACCATCCATTTCTGAACCTGCATATGCGAGTCTTTGTTGATGGTTTTGTTTTGTAAAAAGAAATTGCTGTCAAGATAATTCGAATTTGTTGAAGTCCTACAAGACCAATATCTCAAAACCATCGATTTGGACAATCTCTCTATTTACAAGCAGTACTAGTTCAACCACGTTTATTTTAGTATTTTAATAGTAACTTATCCAAAGCGGCGCCACACATTTTGATCGCAGAAGAACCTCGAATTCCAAAGACATCAAAATAAACACAATATAAAATCAAGTTAAAACAAGGGAAGCAAAGATCCACCGAGACGAAAAGACACAATAAGACCTATCGCAAGACATGCGCAGAAAAACATCCTTATCAGAGGAGCTACCACCGGAGCTGCAGTGGATTGTGATGTAGAGCTCGCTCCAACTACCGATTGTGCTGTTTCATCATGTGCAGTCAAAGTTCTAAATTATCAATTGTCGATTTTGGTGGAAACGTCAGTAGCTATACAATCTGATTTCTCCAGGGTGGGAGAGTTTAACTTACTCAGTCATGTTATCGACCTCTTGACTGAGATGATTGATGTGAGTGACTAAAGCTGACTGAATAGACGACAATGAACGCGCATTTTGTAATACATCAGATGCCGTTTCACGGAGCAGTTCATTTAGTTGTTCTTGCTTTACGGTAAGCTGGTGAAGTTGATCCTCTATTCTTTCTAACCGGATGTTTGCTTCTTGCCATAATAAGAGTGTCGCCATTTGTGATATCATCCTTCTTGAGAATCCGGTTTCTCCTGTTGGTTCCAAGAGTTTGACAAGGATTACATTGACAGATGTCAGCAAATTTTAACTTGATCAGAGTGCTTTGAAAGACACGTACAGTTTTATCTTATCTATCTAATTTCTTTATTGAAGATGCGTGAGTTTTCAGAAGACAATTATGCGAATTCCTCGAATGATGGAAAAAGTTAAGAGTAGCGAACGCACGCTCGAGTTTATATATGCTTGATATTCCTATTTGCTGCGCCAAATGTGTTTGCTCTGCCAAAAAGAGCGCAGCAGTGACCTGCGCATTTGGTCAAAGGGATGATTGATGGGTGAAAGGGAAGACTGAATTTGTGATCCGCACTGGTTAATGAAAGGTAAGTCTGGATGGGTGATTCGTTTACGCGCAATGAGCTGCTTGATATCCCCTTTCATGGACATCAGATCTAAATGTGAAAGACTTTACCTCCTGATCTGTAGGGTTGTGCCACATCTGCCTATGTGATTATGCCTCAGATCAACGGAAACTAGAATTGAATAGATGTACACTAACCAACGGCACTCTTCTGGTTCGAAAACGCCGCTTAGTAGCGTTCGACAGGGAAAAAAAACATCATGCTGAAATTTTGCAACGTTCCCTTTTGCCTCAATCCGAGTAGAATGCACTGCGGTTCAAAACCGATGTAGTTGGGATGTAACTAGGCTTTCAATTTTTCACTTCTTGGCTTTTCGGTTTGATTTTATTTGTTTTCAATTTCTATTCATCTTTGCAAAAAGGTCAACATCCTTGACTACAATCAGACTTTGTTTTTGTTTTGATTATTTTCCATTTTCAGTATATTCCAGTTGTAATTTTCCAAATCAGAATTTTTTTGTAATCTATTTGTTTCTAATTGTATATATGTCGATACTATTGGTATCTCTGCAACTCTTTTTAATCTCAAGATTATTCCAATCTTGCGCTTCAGCATCTGTGGCGAGAGTGCCCACCTCTCCTCGACTAAAGAGTAAAGCGTGTATTCAGAGTGAAGATCTCAATAGCTCGGGAATGATGGAAACTATTTACAGTTAAGGATTCAGCGGTAAAGAGAGAATATATACAGACGAGGTTTGAAAAGTTTGAAGTAGCTTCAAGAGACATATAAAACAATACATTCAGGAAAAGACTTCAGTTCAATAGTTTGAGGGTCCCAGGGGAAATATATACATTGGATGGGTCCAGAGAGAAAGACAGAGTATTGAAGATCAGATCACAAAATTTGGACAGCTTTGAACGTGTTCATCACAATCTTGCACCAATCTTACTTCATCAAACATTCTGAAGAAGATCTGTGCAGTTTCCTTGTATAACTGACCATCGCATATGTTACTTTTGAGCAAAAGTTCGAGCGGGGGAAGTCCACTGGCCAAGATAGCTCGCGTGGTGGAGAGTCTGCATTGGCAGCCTGAGGTGGATGCCATTGCTACAGCTTTGTCTGTGATTCGGGTCAGATGATACAGATCGTTGGGAGGTTATTGACAGATGTATGAAAAATTACTGAATCACTCAATCACAGAGAACTAACCTTGTTTTTCTATGATTTCACCGTTTATACTACCAGCTACAGATGCAGATTCTTTGATGTGTGGCGGTGGTGATCGAGATTGAAGTATCTTTGCAACATTCGGAGGAGGCGAGGAATTATACGGATTCCTATTGGTGCTGGCTTCAAAATGAGGCTTCTCTAGATAGCGTGATTGAAGGTGATTGGAGGCTCCAGAGACAGACTTTTGAAAGCTATGTGACGATGATTGAGTCTGATTTCCATTCTTGCGGGCTCCCAAATCTGAGTATCTCGAGTCGCGCGTTGGTTGAAGTGGTTGAAGTGGTTGAAGTCGATTGGCGTATCGAGACGGTTGATATTGTAAGCTATGAATCGGTGATGGAGAGCTAAATTGAGAATTTTGGAAGCTACGAGTTACTGATGGAGATCTGGGTCTTTTATTGCTGGATTGAATTTCATACTCCCCTAGATGGCGTGATTGAAGGCGATCGGCAGCTGCAGAAACAGGTTTTTGAAAGCTATGCGCCGATGATTGAATCTGATCTCCTTCCTTGCGGGCCCGAAAAGCCGCGGATTCCAAGCCGCGCCTTGGTTCAAGTGATTGAAGTCGACTGACATATCCAGAACGCCGATATTGTAAGTTACGAACGGGTGATGGAGTTCTCGATTGGCGTCTTTTCTCTCCAGCTCCGTGAACAGAGCTCTGTAGCCCCGAGCCGCGCCTAGGTTGCAATGATTGACGTCGATCAACGTAAACAGAAGGCTGATATTGTACGCTACGGGTGGGTGAGGGAGATCTAGATTGGCGTCTTTTTTTTCCAGCTCCGCCAACAGAGCTCTGTAGCCCCGAGCCACGCCTAGGTTGTAATGATTGAGGTCGATCAACGTAAACAGAAGGCTGATATTGTACGCTACGGGTGGGTGAGGGAGATCTAGATTGGCGTCTTTTCTGTCCAGCAGAGCTCTGTAGCGCGTGTGATCGTTGACGTAGACTACCATCTGGAGAAGTGGAAATCTGTAAGCTACGGAAAACCTCAGTTTCCGACCCTTGCCTTGGATGTAGTGATTGAAGTCGATCAACATATGCAGAAGGCTGGTATTGTACGCTACGGGTGGGTGAGGGAGATCTAGATAGACGTCTTCTCTCGGCTCCATCAACAGAGCCCTGTAGCCCGTGTGATTGTCGAAGTAAATTGACATCTTGAGAAGTAGAATCATTTAGGCTACGAGTTGGTGATAAAGATCTGAATTCAGGGCTTTTCTCGCTAGCTTCAAAAGTAGAGTTTGGTGGTGGTGATTGAGATCTCTCGTTCGCAGCTATGAGTGGTGAAAGTTGGATTAATTCATTAAGCTACTGTAATCACAAAGATGAGATAAAGCTAAGGGAAAGGACCCGACCTGATGCTAAGGGCCCATCTTCAAGCTTGATGTGAGTGGCAAACATCTTATCGGCAAACTCTGGAAAACTTCCCGGCATGTCGACCAAAGCTGGTCGGTGAGGATGGCCGAGGCCGCAGCGACTCCTCTTTTCGTAGTCAATTATTTCCATCAGATCTATACAAAGAAAGCCAGGTGGCAAATTTATCAAATCAGTGATGAACTTATAAAAATGACACGGAAATTAAATCCTACACACCCTCATTGGCATTTGGAAGCGCATCTTTGTCATTGGCTGATGCCTCAGGGTAGCGCGTGCAATTCTTGGTATCTGGATTAGTCGCTTTTGGCAGGGTACAAAATGGGTAGCCAGGATATGGTTAGCACTCAAGCAGACTAGTAAATTGCTCCAAAAACGTCCTGACTTTTGGTTTCGTGGTTCATCTCTGGAGATGGTCGAATGTCCTCTTGAAGGACAACTTTCAACGTGTTTTCTTGAAGCAGAAAAAAGGTACTCAGAAAGACATCAGGTTTAGATATCACATTGAGGTTTTGTTTACCTGTTGCGTCCTGGTATTCAGAGCTTGACCCACTAGAAGAATGAGCGCTCAACATTGTCAAGATTTTCTGGTTTGTTGTAGAGAGAGAAGACAAGGAGTCACGAATTTTACGAAAGCAGGAGCGAGAATTGATGATCGGGTGAAGGACTTGGGTTAGCTGTAAATGATGGAATCTTGTTCTTTTGACATGAACGACAGCACGAGTCACACTTGTTGGAGAGCAGCACAAGTCGAAAGATGAAAGGAACTCACGATGCTCGAGCATTTGGATTGTTTGACCAAACATGTCTTCTTCGACACGTGACCACAGTGATTGTCCTTTCAAGAACCGCACACCCACGGCAAATTTCTACCCTATCTATTTTTTGAATGGGAAGTGAATCACAGACCTTGGAAGGACGTACATACACACAACAAATCTCGAGAGGACTACCCTTTCGACGATCCTGGGGGCACCACATACCATGTAGTCTGTTCCAGACTTTTTGGATAGTGACTGAAGACTTCAGAACACCTGGGATCACTCTCAATGACTAAGGATCACAGCAGTTTATCGTAACGCTACTCAAGCGATAAACAGATATCTCTTTGTGTTCATATGAACATAACCATTTCAAAAGAATATGGCCATAAGGAATCAAGTCCTTCCAACTCGCCTTTATGTATAAAAATAAGAAATGGATCTATGTACACACATTCCATAAGGTATTAAAACAATATCAGAAAGCTACGTGAACTAGGAGCTGGTCATTGAGTTGTAATATCAGCTAAAAACAGATTAAGATGTGTTGGAGGACTTTCAATTGAAATACTACTAGCCACATATGATCTTCATTGTTCGACTTCAAAAGTCATTGATTATACAAAGGGCTACTTTTCCAGCATCGTGGAAACACTTGGATCTGAACATATTCACTTACCTTACCACTGTGCAGAAATTTTTATATTTACAACTCCGCCTTCTTGCCAATCATTTTTCTATTGTTTTTGGTCTAAATCCTCACAAAGAGGGATACAATATTAATTTGTAGTTGATTTTTCTTATCAGTGATATCAAAATCTGATTCCAACTTTTTTTTCTGTTGTTTTGTCATTTTTACAGCCCTTCTAGTACCTCTATGATCTTGTTGTTTAATTCTTTTGCCATCTCTTCAGTTCCTAATCTAATCATATAAGATTGCGGTTTAGAACCTTCGAATCCTACAAATGAGATTGCCGTTTCAGTAAATATAGGTTTTAATTCTTTATGTATATTAAAGTTCTACACATTTCAATCATCAAAGATCAGCAAAAAAACCCTTTGAAAGAGAAGTAGAAGAAGGCAAAGAAGAATTGGGAGACATACCACAATAATCTTAGTATTAGTCTGACTACGAGCCAGTATACGGGTCTTCGAAGTTTCACGATGTTTATTAATTTTAATGGTGGACATTGCAAAACCTACCCATTGCTTCTTCATACTGCCATCCTCTTGACGCTTATTGATGAAACCATAGACTCGACCTGAGGTCTCTAACAAAGTATCTTCTGCTTCTTCATTCGTATCAGTTGCTGGATCAGCGAAAGAACTACCTTCAGTTGATCCTACATGTTCTGTTGTCACTCCATCGAATGCTTTTGAAGCTGGTAAGGAGTCATTGGATGCCACGGATACAGCAGCAACGGGCTTGGGTGATTCGTCTTTTGTGGTCAATACTGGCGGACTGACTGTTGCTCCAAATGATAAGCCAACCGGATTATAACCAGTTGATTTGGGTGGAGTGAGTTGTGAGAGCTTAACAGAACCAAACCCTCCGAAACCGACAGGATTGCTACCCGGGCTTCCCGACATACCACACCCGAATTCAAAGGATGGTTTCGCAGGTGTGGCACTTCCAGTTAGAGGATTGGGAGGCGTGGAGCCAAAGAGAAAGGTCTGGCTAGTCGAGGGATTTGACACGGTAGATTTGCCACCAAATGCGGAAAATGAAGTGCTGGAAGTGGGGAACACCGAGGTTGTAGAAAAAGATGTTGTTGTGGTAACAGTGGAATCACTCTTGGGGGTAGTTAGAGATCCAACATCGCCTTGGGGTTTGAAGCTGAAAAGTGAACTGGACGGAACCGCAGAGGTTGTTGCAAAAGAGGGGGTAAATGTTTGTTTAGGTTCAGTCGCGACTTCTTTGTTGACAGATGATTGCGGTTTAGATATGTCTTGTTCTATTTCGTAGCGAAGACGGGAGGGGCGAGCTGGTGCAGCCGTCGAAAATGCACCTGGTCTTGAGGCCGCCTTATGACTCGCAGTAGCTCCAGTGCCAGCTTCATTCTTTTTCAGACCAGCTTTAGAAAGGCGAAAGGCCAAGGAAGAAAACTCAAGTCAGTTGCTGGATGAGTTGATATGATCAAACTGAAAATTTAATACGTACATTCACGTGCTGGGGCTACATTGTTTTGTTTTTGAGGTGGAGACGTATCAGTAAACGGACTTGAAACGGAGCAGACCGAGCTTGACGAATCCTTATCACTGGGTTCATTTGTGATCTTCGTATTCTTGGTGCTATTTGTTTCAGCTGGACTGCCACCCTGGGCTTCGAAGTCTTTGACAATGATATCTCTTTGCTTGTTGTAAGCAATTATAAGTCGTTTGAGAGCCTGATCGAGATTCTCAAATGCATCAGCGTTGTTTACTCGCTCTAGGGCAGCGACTGCCGATAAATTAAGACCGCGCAATGCGGTGTAGTAGGTGGTGAGCGCCTGAGTTGATGGCTTGGCGCTTGAAGTTAAGATCTGAGTATCGGGCTTTGATCCGAAGATGGAGGTGTGGGAATTATTGAATAAGCTGCTTGGAGTGGTTCCGGTGCTTGAAGACTCGGTAGTGAAATTATTACAAACATGTGTTGCTCCAAATAAGGACGTAGACGAGGTCGAAGAACTACCAAACAAGCTGGTGGTAGTAGTAGTAGGAGTATTGCCGAATAGACTTGGAGCCTTGTTAGCTGGAGTAATGCTATCGAAACTGAATGGACTCGAAGACGTGGGGAGGTTCAAGGTTGCGAATGGATTACGAGTGGCGCTAGAACCGAAGGCTGAAGCTGAAGGCGCAGGAGAGATCGTGGGCTTTGTTTGGGATAAGATATTCCATTAGCAATGAGTCTGCGCTATTTTGAACAATGCTCTTGAAGAACTCACTGTAGAAGCAGCAGCCTTGGATTTGGGAAGAGGCTTGATCCTGTTGTTGGGACATCAGGAATCAGTCGTAGCTCGTGAATTTAACTAAAACAAGGATGCATTTTGACTTACTGACGTCTCTTGATGACCTGAGGGGCCGCTACAGTCATGGGGCCCTCCTCAAGCTAAAATATAGGTAACAAATACAAATCAGAAGGGTGAAGGGGTTTGAGTCATATTGAAAGCTGACCACTTCACCATCCTCTCGTTCTTGCCAATTTCTTATGTTCGTAGTAAGACCATCAGAAATTCATACTTGATATCACCGCGTCTATGTGAATAAGAGGGAGTGCTTACCTATCAGTCAGCTCTTTCTCAGCAGCGCGTTTGACCATCGGATCTGAATGGAATGGTAAGTTTGTAAAGTTTGAATAGAAACACTAGAATCAGGATACAATGAAAGGTAAGTTCTATCCGGGTAGCTCAAACGTTTTTCATGCTGACTAAAGTCTTACGTAATAATTTAGGTGTCAGTGACCAAACAGCTCACTGTTCTTCTTGTAATGTCCTCACATCATTCTATGTCTCTTGGACTGTATTTTCGTAAGATCACCGCAGCGAGTCAGGCTGATCTATTGAGATGCGCTGGATTGGGTGAAGAGAAAGTGAATAGATTACTTCAAATGATAAAAGGATTAATGTGAGAACACGCCTGGGGGTTCTGTGCGATCAGTTGGTTCTCTTCATCAGAATTATTTGCCATTCTAAAGCAAATTCAAACTCCTACCTTCTGTAGGGTTATTTGAGAGAGAACATCAGGGAAACTGACTAAAAGCGATAAAGTATAATAAGTAATAAGATCAGAAAAAACTAAACCACTTGAAGGTTTACTCACCACCTAGTTGGTCGTAGTATTTGGTTTCAGCAAGAGAGTCTTATTGTTAAAGAAGCAGGTGACGGGGAAATCTCACGTGTAGGATCCTTCATTAAATACAACAAGATGCATATCCATACCATGCTGAAGCAAATGAGACGTATAATAATTATTAGTGATGGATATCCGAACCTCAAGAACCGTCAGTACCGCCTTGCGGCCGAAGATATTGAACAATTTGTCAACACGTACAAGTATCTCAACCAAGCGGAGGTTAATGAAATCCTCAATATTCAAGATGATGCCAACGAGGCCCTCAACAATGCTACTTCTTACCTCCGAGGGTCTCACGAGTCAATTGAGAGCATACAGCTTCTGCTACGGAACCCAAACCTTTCACCAGCCGATCGCCAACACCTTGACGAGCGTTTAAGATGTACAAATGCTTTGTTGGTCTCCCATCAGAAGATGTTTGACGGGGCTATTCTTGATGTCGGATTTGTTCAAGCATTGGGCAAATATCATAAGTAAGTTTTGATATATCTCTATCGAGAGATATATAGTCACTTTAATTAATTCTGTTGATAAATTGATCAGGGAAATCCTTGCCAAACATACCGCTCGTGTTTCGAATTAGTTTCTTTGAAGATCTATATATATACATCAAATTCTGTGATTATTTGAAGGCTGCATCAAGATATCCAATGTAGATCCCACTTGTGTTGTACTGATGTTGATCCGACTTTACTTCTTTTTGATTGATCCGCTGTTGTCAAACTGGAGTATGAGAAGAAATGCAGTACCGAGTGACTCAAGTCTTGTGCGCCAGTTTATATATGATAGATGTACGATGAAGACTCTTGGAAACTTCTGTGTACAGTCATGATGAGACACTGACAGATATATCAATTCCTGCTTTTCACATTTCTGATTTCTTAGTATTCAAAGACCACCATTCACGGTTTTTGGTTTGGTCTTGATCACTTGTTTCTCGGAGTATGTTCAATGTTGGAGTTCAACATTTCATGAAATGTTGAACTCCAATGCAGCTTATGCCTCTGATCATCAAATATTCACGCTTTGGAGTTCAACATTTCAGGAAATGCTGAACTTGCTACGTATTTTAATGGTTTACAATCATCCTCTGTCTCTTCCGAGCTTTGGTGGCTTGGTCTGTCTTATTTCATTTTTTCTTCTCATCTGTCGTTCTTTCACATTGTCTTTGATTGCTCCTTGTTTTTTGTCGTTTGAATGTGTTCAACAGTTCGACATTTCATCAAATGTTGAACTCCAATCCAGCTTGTGCATGCGATCAACAAAGTTCAATATTTTGATACTCTCAGAGTATCATATTGTCTACCGTCATCACGAAAACCTGCCGGTTTATCCAGAGCTGAGGATCCTCAGGCGGTTTCTCTGTTTAGGTACGCTGTTTTCAAAACTCACCCTCGTTTTCTACCTTCACTCTGACCTCTGGAGATTTATCGTTGTCTCACTTTTCAATCTATATCCACATCAAATCCTTATTTCTGGCTCTTTTCTCATCTCATCTTCATAATGACTCCCAGCGACAACAACCAAAATACCTTTTCAAAGAAGCAGGACAATGCTTGTGTTGAAGCCCCGATGGATGCCTCAATCAGAAACAATTTACGAAAGTTTATGAGCGGTAAGTCTTCCTTGAAGGCGGCTCTGAAGGCGTGTCTTCATCAGATTGTACTCATAGTCTGGAACCTCTTGCGTCGCCAGGTAGTTCCGATTCGCAGCTATTCGTCCCAAAGGATTGGCCTTCAGCTACCTCCCAAGCCTACCCCAACTCCGAGCGACCAATCCGGAATGTTCCAGAAAACGAATACTCTGTAAAACTAGTGCGACAATTCAATCTGGTCAACATAATGATACACAACGCACCTATGTCGGCTCCCCTTATGAGAGCGTGGCAGGCAGTGGCCTGCGCAATTGCAAAAGATGGCAACGGTACGTCCACATTTCCTCTTGCCTCACCTTGAACTGAAAGTCCTGATAACAACTCTGATCCTTTCCAGACCTAGCTATGAAGACATTCACAAACGAGCCGGGTGCATTCACTTGGGTTGAAATTTCAGATGACGACTCAGCTTCTGCGGACGAGGAGATGGAATTGAAGCCCTCCACTCATCGCGCCATATCCCCAACGCCCACCTCGAGGAGTGCTTCTCCGCGTGATGATACACCCACGACGACTCAGAAGAATCAAGGTCTCCCACAACTTACCAAGAACACCAAGCCCGTCAAGCGATACTCACACCGCTTCGCTATGATGAACAAGAAGTCAACTGAAGACACAGTAGCCTCAGCAAACCTAGCGACCATCAAGAAATCAAACAAACCCTCACTCAATAAACGTACGATATCCCAGATGACTGAAGCTGAAGCCAACACCCAGGATTCATCAAAAAAAAGCCGACCCTCTTCGCCGGCTACCTCCATCTTCCGCGACGATTCTCCTACACCACCTGCCCCTGTCTGGGGCAAACATCCAGAAGTCGACAAACTGATCTCTTCCATCACAGTTCTGGCTACTTACCCATCGACATTACCAGTAGCTACATGGAACAATCGTCTCTTTGTGGGTCTCCTCCATAGACCGGCCTTCGATCTATTCCGTCACGACCCAGCCGATCAAGCCTTTTATGCAAGAAGGTGCCTAGACAATGCCATACCTGACGACAAGATTGAGGAACTCCTCGAGCTTGGTGCATGTGGGCTCGACTACATCCTCGAATACATCCAGACCTTCCGTGATCAAGAAGTCTGGACTGTTCAATGTGACAGATCACTCATTCCCAAGCTCCGCCGTATTGAGGATCATCTTACTGCTTCAATCAGGTTGCCTTGGATCATCCCACAACCCAGCCCTTCTGAAATGTCGACCCCTTCCCCATCATCACCCGCTCCGGCTAGGACCAATCCATCTTCTGATTTACCGGCTGTTTCACTTATCTCAGACTCAAGTCCTTCAGATGTCGCATCACCAAAAGAAATCAACAATGCACTTGCTGAGATCGGTACGGAAGACACAGCCAACACCGCGGGTTCATCCGAAAAAAGCCAACCCACCTCCATCTTACGCGATGATCCTCCTCTGCCACCACTTCCTGAGATCAGTACGGAAGACGCAGTCAACACTGCGGGTTCATCCGAAACAAGCCGACCCACCTCCATCCTACGCGATGATTCTCCTCCGCCACCTGCCCCTGTCTATGGCAAAGATCCTGAAGTTGAGAATCTGATCTCTACCATCACAATCTTGGCTACTTACCAATCAGCAATTCCAATCGCAACGTGGAACCATCCACTCACTATAGCTTTCCTCGAGCGACCGGCCTTGGATACATCCCCTGACGACCCAGAAGACCAAACTTACAATTTGAAAAAGTTCCTTGAAAAAGTCTTACCTGACGACAAGATCGAGGAACTCCTTGAGCTTGGTGAATATGGGCTCGACTCGATCCTTGAATACATCAAGCACTTCCGTGATCAAGCTATCTGGACTGTCAGTGGTGACAGGTTACTCATTCCGACACTCCATCGTATCCAGGAATACCTAATCGCTTCAATCACGTTGCCCTGGCTACAACCACTAGCCAGCGCTTCTAAATCGCCGGACTGTTCCCAATCACCACCCGCTCCGACTGCGACCAACACGTCTTCTGATTTACCGGCTGCTTCGCTTTCATCAGCCTCAAGTACTCCACACCTCGCGTTACCAAAAGGAATCCAAACTGTACTTGATAAAATCACTCATCTCGAGTCTCTGGAATCTTCGATCCGCGTGGGTCAACCCAATGACGAGTTTGCTGAATTTTTTGGTCGGCCTTACCTTCTACCCCCACTCGACCTTATTGAAGACGAGGGCCTCTGGCAGGAGCTTGATGGCCAGTTGACCAACGTGATAGGAAGCCAAGTGATCGAAGATAAGCTTCGTAAAGGCGAGTTTGGCGCCAGTGGACTTCTTCCGAAATGGATCCAGAGCGCTCGAGCTCACACGGCATACTGGTCCGACTCACTGGATGGTCTAATCATCATGAGAGCCGAGCAGATCTGCTCAACTTTTGAAAAGTTTTTAATCAATCCAGGTAACAATGCCCCCGCTGCTCTCAACAAGACCTCCAACTGTCAAATGGTCACTCCGGATTCGACAATGACCCCACTACCTGCATCTTCCACCACCCAAAAATCTCCTGCTCGACCATCAACATCTCGTCCGTCCGTCTTTCCGGAATTGAACAGGTCTGTCCTGCAAACAAATGACAATCCGACTTCAACCTCTCTAGATAATCCTACACCACCGCGAATCAGAAAGATAATCGTCCGCGGGCCACGGTGTCCAACGCCCCCTGTATTCCCATTGAACTCTGACATAGTACAGACCACCTTACAGACCCCCGAGAATGACCAAACCGGCAGCATTATCCCATCGCAGTTGACTCAGATTACAACCACATCATCTTCCAACAATCTCCCTCATCAAAAGGACGGCCTCTGGATTGATCCTGACAACCTCAAGATTGACATCCAATGCTCCTCGATCCGATCCAAAAAAGAAACAACAGAAGACTGTGTCCTACTTTATGAAGCATGTTCACGCATGTTACGTGCTCGTATTTCTGCTAGCATGACGACGTATGACCCCCTCGAGAGAACTCGAGGAAATGAAATTCTATATTTCAGCAAGGACTTTAAGCTAAGTCAATGGGTAGCTCGAGACCAAAGTAAGTTTCCTCTTGATGAACCTGAAATTCATTTTACCACTCGCTTATCCTACATCAACTATGCTTTGCTACCTCCCAGCGAAAGATTTCTTCATTGCAGGATGCGAATCACCATGGGGCAAAGACCGTGTATTCAACTGGAACTACATCGACCTTCAATCCGAGAAATCTCCAAGCAGCGATGAACTAGAGAAGAGACTTTGCGACTCATTCAGACTCATGCGAAACCCGACCAAACATCGCCTCGAGATGGCTGGTAAATTTGTATTAGCGGCAATCAGTTTAGTGGGCTCAGAAGCCGGACCCCTCCCCCCCCTTCACGATTTCACTGAGTGCAATCTACCTTTCCTCGAGGTCAAGGATTCTTTTCAATGTGCCGTGCACTATCAAAACCTTCAATCCAAGGCTCAACATAAGGCATCGCGCAATCAAACTATCGAGATGACCTGTATCGAACAGCTTACCAAATTAGTGGACTCGGTTTACGGTTGTATTGAAGCGCTTGCAGTCATCCGAGCCCACCACCATCACCAAACACAAACTCAGAAATTTCGTAACTCACAGAGCGACATTGATGCAAGCTTCCATAAAGTGGCTTCAACGGTGGCACTCAGATCCCAAGCCTTAACACCCCTGGTTGCTTTCCTTTCACTTGGTTTCAAGGGGCTCCTCACTTACCGCCGCGACACCGGGAGATCAAATAAAACCGAACTCATTCAACTTTGCCTTGTCACCGGTCGAATGTGCAATGTTGAATTTTCTGACGAGCCTGTTTGGAAACGCGCAAGTGATTACGTTTTGAAATGCATATCAAAGGCTCTCTTCCCCAAAGACAATGGAGAAGGAGTCCCTTCGGAGTGGGAACATGTGACTTGCAGGAAATATGATCTTGCCCTGGCTATGTACTTAGATGTATCCGAGCGCTGTCGCGATTCGCCTGTGTCTGACCCAAAATTCCCACTCTACAAACTGCCCGTGTATGACGATTTGACGCCCGAGGAGTCAGAAACTTGTTATTAGTTGATGATCATGACTTCACTGTGTTGTAATTTTTCCTTCAAATACGTTGTTTGTAAACGCTGATAAGACAATGATCCAGGGAAAATTACATACCCCATATCAAGGCAGCCTAGCCCCCGTGTCTCATGTGCCCTACCTCTGTATGAAAAGCCTCACCGTGCTCTTGGTCATAATACATTTGTGATGGCATAATTAAGCACTTTTCTGGCGTTGACCATTGAACTGAGTTCAACATTTCATGAAATGTTGAACTGATGATCAATGTTGAACTCACATTTCATGTGTGGCTTCCTTATCTCGTATGCTCACATTTTGATTGCTCGTCGATTGTTGTGCTTTGAAATTGTAGTACATTGTGATCTGAATCACAATCTTTTCTCGTCTTTTTGACTTGGACCTTTTGAATTATAATTAGGAGTTCAACATTTCACGAAATGTTGAACTTACTATTTAATATTTCAACTAAAAGTTGAGCTCATCAATACACGAGATCTGAGGGTTGGTGCACATGATCCACTTGAATCTTTGATACAACCCTCCAATTTGAAGACAACAGTGACCAGCCATTCCCGAGGCCGGGTGTAATCAGTTCCAATCAGATACAACTCATAATTTAATTAGAAGTTGACCAAGCTCACAACCAGATCAGGTGAAAAAATGAAAAAGGTACGGCAGGATGTTGCTGGTCAATCCCTTCAGGATGTGTTCAAGAGTTATGTATGAAAATGATATCAAAACCGACCGTGACGCTTAGTTTGAACATAAGTAGATATCACCTTACTAAGTCACTTTGTTGACAAACCAACGAGCTACTCCTTTTTTAGGACTTTGAGGAGGATTCCAGTTTTTAGTGATGGGTGCAGGGAGTAGTACATCTCCACGAGGAGCAAACTATCAGGAATACCAGCTGATGGGTTGAAAGCATCTTTCGAACACTCGGTAAGCATCCTAAAAAGAAGGGAAACAATCAGTATGGTCGGGAAGAAGTATTCGTAGCGAAGATGTATACACTGATATAGTGATACCTCAACATTAAGACAATGTCTTGGTCAACGTCGATCCCAAGCTTCAAAGTGTCCTCGGGTGAATGAAGTGTGGACTTTAATTCTATCTTACAAATATTTGTACATACATATATGTAATTTTGTACCTGTATATGATCAAAGTTGCCGACAAGCTGGAGTCACTGACCAGGACCACACAACAGAGTCAAATCACAGAAATCACCCCTTTCAAGAGTTCATGATAGATTTCTTCGTGATTAAACTGTTACTAGCACCAAGTCCTCCTCATCTCCATGGTGCCTATGGCCAAAATGTCGACTGATTGCACCAGCACAAATACCTCCGGAACTCCTGACTCAGAAGGTGCACAGGCTTACATGCAGGACCTCGACTCTATAGATCAAATTGTACGAACATGGTTACAACATCCCATGTCGATATCTCTATACTCATGTCTGACAGCTGTTCTGAGCGAAGTTGCAATTGAGATCAAAGGTGAGTTTGTGACAGTTCATGACTCACACAACGCGTACATGAACACGCACAATTCCTCTCTAACACTATATTGGTGTATTTTTGGCCTTCATTTTGTCTGTAAGAAATCAAGCGTAGATTGGTCGACCAGCAGGGTCCTAGTGCTCTGGCTTCAAAGAAAACTTTTACGGCCAGTAAAAACAAGACTTTGCGACGGTCTCTCCGCTTTCCCAACAATGGTCTCGCATCTAGTTCGAATACTCGCACTCTCTCTCGGTCGCGCGTATCAACTCTCAAGGCTTCATGCATAGCTAAGAGGAAAAAGTCGCAGAATCAATCAAGAGGAACAAAGAACTTGAAGTCTAGCAAATTTTCCGACAGACCGGAACCTACTACTCCTCCAGCGGTCAAAAACAACATACAACACACTTTCGCGGATCCCGACGTAGAAGATAGTGCCTTGCCTGTACTTTTGGATGCGGACTCAGTTGATGGCGCGGCTTTGACTGCTTTTGAAAATTCATTGAGCCAAGATCTTTGCTTTGATCTTCCTTCTGATGGAGTGTGTGATGATCCTCCTAGCATTGTACGTTTTGCTCCTCATCTTACATAAGATCCTCTGATGGAACTTAGCCATTCGACACTGCTTCATCTACTTTTTTTGCTATCTAGCAACAAGTTTCAAGCCACTTGGATCGGATGAAAACTGCCTCTCGACCTTTTTATCACGAATTTGAGGCTACTGCTACTAACCGAACTCTAGCTGAAGTCGATCTTGAACGCATTAACATAGCATTTTTAATCATTTTTGACATTAATTCTAATCATTTTGCATAGCCGAAAAATACTACATCTGTGCAGTGTCACCAACACCGAGAAAGACTGCTACACCCATCGCCAATCACAGCAAACTCCGAAACTGGGCTCGTTCTGGTTATGTCGCATTGATCTCTACAAATCTCGGTCTGTACAAACGCAGGCAATCATTCCGGCAGAAGTCAAGAAGATACACAGCGCCGCACTTGCTTTATTACAGGCTCTTGTCCGCGGCTCACCAGTAAGTTTTGATCCAGAAGAGGTGTTGCCTCAGGCTGTGACGTTCGACAGCCGACAAGATCATGGGATTAGGATGTGGTGTCAGAGAACTGATAGTATGTAGATTTTGTGCAAGACCTGACTGCTTTCTGAGCTGACCTGCAACATAATCTATGTTCAAATTCAGATCGAAGACTATTTTATGCAAGTGAGCAGACATCTTGGTACAAGCCAGATATCTTCGACTTCGACATAATTGACCAAAATGAGTCGCCTAAAGATATACCAATCCACGAACGCTATCTCTGGGATACATTCAGAATGTTTCATAACCCTACCCCAACATTTGTTGAACGGGGAATGCATTACGTGATGGCTGCTGTGGTATTGGTTGGAATGGACTGCAATAATCGACTTATCTTGGAACAGAGTCCAAGTACAATCTCGAATCCTCCCCTTGCACAAACCTCACTCAACGCAATCTCCTGCTGGCATCATTACAAAAGATTAGCTTACATACGAGAGAAGACTATACAAGACAACCAATCAAATTTGTCTAGTGGTTGCATCAAAGACTTGGACCGACTCATTGCGTCGATATACTCTCTTGTAGTGGCGTTTGCGAGTATATGGGCTTCTGTCACCTTGGACGCCGACATCGAGGCCTGCAACAATCTCATAAGTACAGCCATTTCTCAGGACATGGTCAGCAGATTGACAGTTCAAAAAGGAGAACTCTTGAAGGCGCGAAACGAAGTCGATATTGAGCATTCTAATCTTCAACCACTTGTCAGTTTTCTCTGCTCAGGTGTAACGGGCCTGATGATATACCCGAAGGACAAAAACGTTTTTTCTACTCTCCGGGCAGTGAATTTTTTGCTTGTAACTAGTGAACTCATGAAGCTCAATCATTCATTTTCTGACCCAGTTTGGAGAAGAACACAGTCATACATAGTTCAGTTTCTGAAGGATCTTGTTCTATCTGCGGGACAATGGGAGCCGCGTGAATTAAATCGCTATCACTTGGCCAAAGCTCTCTTCCTCGACTTTGCTGGATTCTGGCTTGCACAAAACATAAGCAAGATTCCAATACCAAAGTCACGAAACTACAAGATCACTGATAAAGAGTATCTCTAGTACTATCTCTGGTGATCAGCTTACTTCAAGTGTATCAGGCGTATAACCAGTACGGCATTCTACTACTTTCTTCTTTTAATTATGTCTCTTAGTGTGTTCAAATCTAGAATTACTGTTAGTTGTACAATCAACCTGGATCGCGTCGGACCAGCTGCTGCCGGTTTCGACGACCTTCTTTTCGCCTACTGTTCCTTTGAGCCACTACACATTCGACTCGTAGCTTGTTCAACGCTAAAATGAACATCCATCTAAAGGATCACGTTCTGGCCATTCCCTCCGCGCTGGTGGTGCTACAGCCCTATATCAAGCCGGATTGATTAAGGATTCGATCAAAACTATTCGTTGTTGGTCTTCATCCGCTTTTGAAACTTATATCCGAGAACATCCCTTCCTTGCCATGCCAGCTGTGACATCACTCGACGACCGCATGGGCACTCATAACGGTGCCTCCTGTCTTCAAATAAATAATTTCATTATATTCAAGATTGGAATATAACATATCATACATAACATCATTGGCTTTTAAGTCTTCTTGATTTTTTTGCTCAGATGCTCGCGTTGTTGTAGACTTGATCAAATTGTTTTTTATTTCTCGGAGTGATCATCATGTTTCCGTCACTCTCGTCTTCCGCTTCCTGCAATCAAGCGTAGCGCGATTTTTTCATGAGAAACTCAGTAATGATAACTGTTCTTGCATATACATCGACAACAATTTCGGATTCTGTGTATCCGTTTGGATCCGAGATAGGGTACGTAAAGATAAAATCAAAACTTGTGTCCTTGACAAGAGAAGCCTTACATTGAAGTGGTACTCTTGATGTAAGAGTAATAAAGAAGCCTTACATTGAAGTGGTACTCTTGATGTAAGAGTAATAAACGCCAGCTGTTTTGGTACTTTCTTGTTCCCTTGACCGGGAGACGATTCTACAAAGGGTCGTACTGAATATTCACCCAAGCTGTGTCTGCTCTCCGCCTCAGCCGACCTGTTCGCATGAGCATTCTGATCAAATGATCATCGATCAGCGGTTCTATTTCATCGCTGGGTTCACTTGAACCGTTTCTCATGTTGAGCTTTGTGCAGGTTTCAGCTGAGTTTGATCGTTTCCCCTGAGGAAACAAGGGAGTCTACGGTGAAAGTACACTACAAGACCTAAGCACATATGAGTAACCCAGTTCAGCGCTCACAGGAGACATCTCACAATGGTGGCGAACGATCTGTGATGACATAAAACCTCTGATTGAGCTGGACTTTGGTGTAGGCTACCAACACTCCCATTCCAAAAAGAATCAGACATTAAAAGAATCTTCTCCCTTCCGCACTGCCCGCTCAACTTCGCAATATAACACAAACATGCCATTTTCATTCAAACCGACGAGAGTACCTGGTTCTTTGGGTTCAATAGCCCTTTCTCCTTCAGATACACAGCAGCCCCGTGGAAAAAAAAGAAAATTCAAGGATTTTGGAGCAGTCGATGACGTAATGCAAGAAGCAAAAATCAATGTTGTGAATCACAAATCACGTAAGTAGTCTCTACTCTGCCAATCATGAAGTCTATGTTGCGTCTCAACTCATCCGTCCAACCGCAGATCAAACACGCTCAAAAACACGTCAAATTCCTAGAACTATCCCTTCTGAGGTCATTTCAGCTCGGGAGCTTCATTGGATGTCAAATACTTTACAAAACTTTCAAAGACGTTTCAAGGCCTTGTCTCAATTGAGTGAGAAACTATTAAGTTCAGAAACCCTCAAACCTGGAGAAATCCATTCGATAATCTCTAGGCTCGCTCGGGGCCAATTCCAGTCAGGTGAAATTGTGTCTGGGGCCAAAATGGAATACGACTTACCGGCACGGAGTGAAACAGCATTGAGATATGGATCCATCGCAAAGCAAATCAATCTGTATTTCAAGGTATCGACGCCCAAGGAAAAGGTAATCCGTTTCCATATCTCTTCAGAGTGCTTGAGCTCACAAATATACCCTCAAACGCAATTGATCTGACACGTATCCTGTTTGTACTCAAAGGTGGAAGACCGAGAGGGATTCATCAAACTATTCACCATGTTTATGGAAAACTACGTAGCTTTCAAGGGTTGCATTGAGATTTTATTAACCTCCGCAGAAAATATATCTCCCCAAGCCAAGAGTGTGCAGGGAGCGGTCGACACCTTCTCTCATTCGCATCTAGATACCAGCAAAAACGGTTCTCAGACTGAAAATCCATCCACTATATCAGATACGGTCGCTTTCTTCGACGTGATGGATACTTCTTCGAGCAAGAATGAGCATACCGAAGACCAAGATCACCAAGCGCATTCGAGTGACTCGTCGGAAAGTGATTCCGAGATGATTTGGAAGATGCTGGTCCCCAAATTAAAATGATACTTTTGTACTGCTCGTCTGTGTACTTTGTGTCTCAATCTTGCTGTGTTTCTCTTTTCAATCCTGCTGTGATCGTATAAAAGCCAATTTCATTGTGGATTCATTTTACGGAATTCCCCTGAATAATCACATCTAAATAACAAGTTGACAATATCACAATGTGAGATAGGTGACCGTGGAGATGATGTTTATTTGGAGAGATTTAATCTTTAACAAAAGCTTGATCACAAGTCGCAAACGAGCATTCAGTTTTTGTACTGGGTACAAATGGCAGTCTGCGTGTGTTAATCATACAAAGCATGTTAAGGCATGTTACGAGCGGCGGAGTGGCTGAAAGTTTCACAGCCCTTTGATAATTCAAGAGACATATGTAGTCATGTGACCACTAGTCATAAACTCAACAGGTGCACATCGACATCGACAGTCTAAATCTCGTAGCAGGATTCCATCCTTGATATCTACAGCCATGGCACCAAAACTTCGTCCTTGTCTTTGCATCGAACTTGGATGTTCCACTCAAACATTTCAGCTTGGCGGAGTTCTTCACCAAGGAGTTAATAGGAGTAAAAAAAACGCCGAAGCTCATGCACGCAAAGTAGAAGCAATACGCCAAGAGAATCTTCATCATCCCGATCGTCGCCCGTCGCCAAATGCCAATGGACACGGTGATTCATCCCGGGGACTCACTCAGACACAACCCTTGGTATGTTGACGGGTTGATTTTGTGATGTCAAATCTCAGAGTCAAAAGCTTATCTTGGCGTCTCCCCTATCAGACTCGTCGTAGAAGATCCTTGAGTACAGGCGATCTCCCGAATCGATCACGCCACATGCCATCATCACGATCAAGACAGAATCAACCTGCAATCGATGTATTCCCGATGGCTGAACCGACCCCAAGTAGTCCCAATGAGTCCAGCCAGCAATCACGATGGGTGGACACTTCTGCTTATCGTATCAGGGAGGTCTATCTTCGGCAGCCATCTTGTTTAATAGCCATGCTTATGGCGGCGCACAGCAACATTGTTTCGAAAACTAGCCACCATGAATGTCGAACAATGCTTCACTTCTCCAAGTTTCAGATCGAACAAGCACTTCTCGAAGCAAAATACGTTGGGGAACCATTTTGGGACCAGATACCTACCAGCCTACCTACAGTATTTGACCGACTCAATTTGAACACTGAGATCAATTCAGAGCTGTGCTGTCCTAGGTGTTTTGCTTTACATGGCGCACCAAAACCTGAAAACGAGGCCGATTATAAGCTTAACTGTGATAATCCCCTATTTCTCAAAGATTCGACTAGAAAAAGACAGAAACCAGTCGATATCGTCCGTACTGCATGTGACGCCAGCCTTTACGACGCTGTTCGCAAACCTCATCGGGTTTTCTACCATCATTCCTTGAAGGTATGGCTGGCAAAGATGATGATGCTGCCTCAATTTGAGTACAATCTAGATGCCTCTCTACGATATACCAGCAAAGACCCTTCTACGATGTCAGACGTATGGGACGGTGAGATGTGGAAAACATTTGAATATTCTGGAAGTCCCTATACTCTCAGAACTGGCCATCTAGTCTTTGGATTTTACTGTGACTGGTTCAATCCGTATGGCGGTGGATCTCGACGTCAAATTTCGACTGGCAACCTACTTCTTGTGTGTCTTAGTCTTCCTCCCAGCATCCGATACAAGCGCGAATACCTCTTCCTTTATGGTACAATTCCTGGTCCTCGTGAACCAAAGTTGGATCAAATGAACTACTTGTTGAAACCTTTGGTGACAGAGCTCCAAGACTTTTGGAGAGGCATTCACTTCACATCAACTTCACAGTATCCAGACGGCCGACTTATACGAGTTGCTTTGTGGCCCCTCATCGCCGATTTGGTCGCGATGAGGAAAATGTCGGGATTTGCATCGCATTCTGCAACACACTTTTGTGTACATTGCGATTTGTTAAGAAAGGACATGGACGAGATTGATTATAGCAAATGGCCAAAGCGGTGCGAGGATCCCAATCATGCCCAATCCTGGATTGATGCGTCTAATCTGCAAGATCAAGAGAAAGTCTTTAACACGTATGGTGTGAGATTCAGCGTTTTTTCCGAGCTACCTTACTGGCAACCCAACAATTTCGTTAGCATAGACATCATGCACTGTCTTCTACTCGGTATCATGAAAGATCATGCAATTTCAGTATTACGAATTGAAGATGCAGGAAGTATTTTGAAGTCGATGGAACAATACAATGCGGAAAGGGGAATTTATGGAGATTTTACTGTAAGTCTTTCTAGTCTTGAAGAAACATGCTTAAAATGTGAAGATGTTCGGTATGATGAACACTCAATCAATATCTGCAGTTTGATTTTACAGGACCCCCTACCCAGCCTCGATCATCTCACACCTCTGAAGACAATCTTAACGCTTCTGCCAAAGAAGACAATCCGACGACCAGCACTCATTCATTTGACTTAGCTTCCATGGAAGAGCATGCATCAGAGCCTGCTGCTAATATCCATCGGTATAACACAAGACAAAAGGCTTCTCAAGAGACCGATTCCAGCCATTCTGACGCCCGATCTGATACCAACAACTCTACTCGAGGTATGGTTAAATTTTCAAAGCTCTCCGATTACCATACCAGTGACATGGACTGACTTATACCTTCATTGTTTGAGATGCACCCACCCGATATCCGAGTCGAAAAAGAAATAGTCTCGCTACTGAACCTATCAGTTCAAGTCAGAGTAGGAAGAAGTCCAGGACTGAAGAAGAAAGCACCCGCGAAGACCAAAGTGGCTCTAGCGCCGAAAGTAAACGTGATTCTGAGGACTTTTGTGACTCTGGAAACGATGATGACTCCGATTCCACTATTCTTGGTAGAAAGCGCACTACAACTACACAAGCTCAACCCGACCAAGAAGCTGCAAAGACTAAAAAGCGACCAAAAAAGAAGAAGCGTGCCCGAGTTGAAGTTCCTTCCGATGCAATACGTATCACGCCGAAATGTTTGTATACACTTCATCGGACTATGGAAAAGGTTCTCACTCCTTCTTGGATGACTCGGGTCCCCAACAAAATTGGGACGGTCAGTGCTGGGTACATCAAGGCTTCTGAATGGATGTCCTTCTATACAGTATACATGGTTCTTATAACTATTCCAAATATCTACAAGTCTCCAGATCTCCAGGAGGAGATAATGTGTCAGAGTATCATAAAGGCCATAGAGATATCCAACCTAATCGTATCTCGAAGTTGGAGCAAAGATCATGGAGATATCCTCCAGTCTAAAATTCAAAGTTTTCGTCACCACACAAGCGAACATTGGCCGCATGTCAGTGTCAAACCCAACATGCACTACTCCCAACACTTACCCGAACTTGCCGTCCTATATGGGCCTCCTGCAGCCACAGCTAGTTACTTTGGTGAACGTGTCAATGGAGCTTTGTCTGACATACCAACTAACCGTCACCTGGGTAAGCTTTGCGTTGCCTTTCTATATCTTAGTGTTGCTGATGGTCAATTTCTGCAGATCAATTGGATAAAACATTATGCCAATCCTTCTCTCGGCAGGGATATTTTCTGGCTATCTTGAACCAGGCACCCACCTATCTTGACAAAGCGGAAAAACACATCCGGGATTTCGCCATTGAGAAGCTTACCGGTCTTTCATCACCTAGATGGAAAGAGTCGGAACTAGGCGATGATACATACAAGGTTTGGCTGGACTATTTGAACAACCACTTGGAACAACGATACGGTCAATTCTCTCGCCCCCTCAACGCAAACTCCGAGACATCTCATAATGCTAAAATATTGCCTGCCGTGGTACAAAGTACAAATAGAATTAGAGTCTCAAGAAAGACCTATGCAAGTCATTCCATCACCAAAGGTAATAGTATGGTTGCATATATCTTTCATGGTAGGAAATCATACGGTAAAATCAATTTTATATTCCAGTCAGAAGCTATCCCGGAAGCCAAATTTCTATCAGTGGAGCCATTCGAACCTCTAGACGACTCTGATTCTTCTAAAAATATCTACTTGCAATATCCACTCCTCAAAGCGACTATTTTATATGACAATACAGGAGAGCAGGTAGTTGTTGACTTCTGTGATGTCATAGGTCATGTTGCTGCCATTTGGAATCCAGAAGGAAGCTTTGATATTTCAAGGGGTACGTACTCTATGGTCAGCTTGGAAAATCATGTGAGTAGTTACTACTATTTGTGTAGTTGACTTGCACCAATTGATCAATTTCTATGGTGGTTCTTTGACAGAGCTCACTCGTTGATGAAAGTGGTTGAAATGGGTTAAGGGTCAAATGTTCAAACCCTTTCTTTTATCTTGTGACGCTGAGCTGAGAACTTATGTATCTTCGTATGATACGAAGCAAGTTTTTTTATGGAATCAAAACGGTGGTCTTTTTTGAATTGTATTATTGCTGAAACAAAGATTTTGAGTTAACAAGTGATCAAATTTTCAGTTGTAACAGCGAGTGAGGGAATTGGCAGCACGGGAACAGATATTGTTCTCGAGGAGTATGTTCACCAAGTCGTTCTTGACTTGACCATTTTGTGATCGTGATCTCAGTCCATCCTTTCATCTTACTTTTTTCATTTTTTCATCTGCGTGTAGATGATGGGCTGTCGGATAATGATTTAAAACGTAATGATTTTGAGAAAAAAGAAAAAAAGACTAAAAAACTAGATACAAAGAAAAGTGATAATTTCAAACAGTACGACTCACGAGTCAAAGAATATGAACATAAAGAAATAGTAATGATTTTGAGAGAAAAGAAAAAAAGACTAAAAAACTAGATACAAAGAAAATGATAATTTGTCATAGCTAAACAATAAATAAAACTAAATAGGTACAAAGAAACGTAATAATTTGACATAGCTCAATAAGAAAAAAAACTCAAAAAAACCAGGTACAACAAAAAGTGATAATTTCTCATAGCTAAACAAGAAAAAAAAATAGATAGGTACGTAGAAATCAT